CGGCCCTGAATAATTCCTGCGACGTAGGTAACCGCGGAATCATTTCAATTTCTTATACTTCAGTACCGGGAAGCCCCACGGAATTAGGTGTGCGTGCCGAGCCCGTCTGAATCTGCCGAGTCATTCCATTCCGACTTCGTCTAAAACCTGGGAACCAGCATTCATTCAATCCTTCAAACGCTGGCGCATTCGAAGTCGCCTCGTTCCAAGTCATGTGGAAACCCCACGGGAAAAATAATAATCATTCCTCATAATCCCGGCGTTGAATTAGTCGCGTCCAGGGTCGAGACATTATTTTCAATGTTCATCTTGCTTCGGGCTACATCGATATCCGGGATCAGTTGGAGCCAAAGAAGAACGGACAGAGCTCTTTGGGTTGACGATGACGTGTTTGACTTTTTCCTGAGTTTGCTAACGGTGCCAAGCGATTAGCCCAACAGCCGTGGTTTATTTGAAGCCACGCCGAGCAAACTGAGCCGAGCCCCGCTTCGGCTGACGAAGATTGTTCCACCAGGATAAGAAACTCGCCTAATATTCTTGAACATATTTAAAACGAAAAAAAGAGAAGAGGTTCTTGCGCATGAGCCCAACTTCCGTGCCAGACTCCATCACTGCTTCCCTTTCGCTTCCCCCGAGATTTTCAACGACCATCCTCGCAACTCCATCGATCTCCAGGAAACGTCCTCACGTTTACGCGGTTTACTACCGTAATCAATTCAAATTTGCAAACATTGTACTGTACGAGTATACACGCGATTATCAGAATTCTTGACAGCTAGAAGTGAATCGAAGAACTAAAACATGGATTTAATTCGGGTATCCGAATTCGAACAAAGAATCAGTCTCATGTTCGCGGGCTAAAACTCGAGCGTCCCCGAAATATCTGCAAAAATCGTGGAGAGTAACGCATGAACTTTGCATAACTCTTCAAAACAAAACAAAACTCGAATATTTTAACCTTCTGAAGCTAGGTCGATCAACTGTTTCTTGTCCTCGAGCCTTAGTATTATGCTGTATAATTTTACAATTTCTCACACACCAATTTCCCCCCAATGTATTCTTCCATCGAAATTGGCACATCAAAATTGGCAGATTTCTCTCGTATACGCCGCGTTCTTTCCTCCGAAATTATTATTCTTTCTTGTTGCGTTCAATGCAGCTTTATCATTTGAAGTCAATGTCCAAAGGCAGGCTGTGGCCTATTATGACGTGAATGTAGTTAATACTGTATTCTTCAACAGTCGTAGAGGCGGCGATTGGTTGCTAAGAAAATATATGCATTTCAATAAACGTATTTACATGAAGGCTGTAAACTATGGAGTGTAGACCGACAAGTGTTTGATGCCTGGGTTCGAGGAGTTGGTTGTCGAGGGGCCCAAAATCCCTGAATGCTCATCACGCAAAGGGAAGCCCACAAACGATGTGATTCTAAAATAACTTCGATGAAGCGTAGAGGTAAATGTTTGCACTTTCCTTGCTCAGTCTCCCGAAAGAAAAAAAAAATAGGGATACACGGGTGTCAATTTTGGTTCAACAAGCGGCTTTGAGGATGAGCTTCCCCGTCGATCAGAACGCCTGACAGTGGAGTGCGTGTTTGATGAGCATATATGATATTTGAACCATATTTGTTCGCGCCCGCAAAGAAACAACGTCGGAGGTATGCATAGTGCCTTTGCCGCGTGCTCGTCGAGTTGACTCTTCTAATCGGATTGCAGTTCGGAAGATTCAGGAAACCGAATCGTGCCAATGGTGGGATTCGGTTGCAGCGCTCGACTTTGTCCTCCGTGACATGTCATGCGGAAAGAACCTGGGAGTTCTTCATTCACCCTGCTCATTCATTTTCACTTTCTCACGCATTCCCCTGGGATTTTCGAGGACATCGACGAGAGAACGGTTAATCCGATATGTCTTGTTACCGGCTTGGATTGAAGATCAAGCGAGGGGGCTGGAAAAAATGCTGATCTATCATTCGGGGAAGCTGAAGCTTCGCTTTCGGCAGCAGTTGCTTGGCCAAGGGCCGCAGCTGCTGGGTCCCGCCTGGCACTGATTCATCAAAATATGACCGCGGCTGATGCGGAATTTTCCAGCCTACATCGTTTATGAACATAAAAGAGTTTCGAAGCTTTCTTCTTTCTCGTAGAGAGAGAGCAAGTAATTTTGATTCCAGTTTGTTTTCAAAACAACTGCGTGCTTTTTTCTAATGATCGTTTTAAAGGCTCCGAAACGGTTTAGCGCATCAAGGCGAGTACAAACCTACCAGACGTGAACAAGCACTCTATTTAAAATACAGTACTGTATCTTTCATCATCAAATGGAACCTCCTTGATGAAAATCGATCGATGATATCGAACAAGGTCAGTTGAAACCCACATGAAAGATGTTGATTTGCTGGTATTGTGATTTTATGTTGCGGATTAAAATTCCAAGGTTGGTGCGTTTGGCGACATTACAACAAGACCGCAAAAAATCCGTTCACGCAGCCTTTATTGTAAGATATTTTCACATGTATTAGTCCAACTGCGATTCAAAATGTATCATTTGATTCAAACGACATTTTATTCCGTAAAGTGATCCTTTATTCCCCGGGGAAATGTTATTCCCTGAAGTTCTTGCCTTGGGGAAGGCAAACCCACCGATGTGTTCCTATGATTGCATCTGTGCTTCGAAAATGTGTTTCTATGAGCCCATAAGATGCTGCAGCACAGAGCGTTAAGGTAACTTCGAGGAAGTGGTTCTGCGAAACTGATAGCAGATTGGTAATCCTATATGGAGAAACTGTCGTTTCTCATTGAAACACAGTACCTTGAGGCAAATTCAACCGTCGATTTGAGCAAGTTGTTCCGAAAATATTTGTGGTTGCATTACAAATCCCCGAGGATGTGAATATAATGTTATCCATACCATGGCCACCTCAACTACAAACCAAAGCTTTTGATTTTTGATGAGTTTAACTTCCATACCATATGCCTCCATGCATAAGACTCGCGCCTGCATTTTTTACTTAGAATTTGTAATACAGTAATTTCTTTGCATGTTTATGACGAAAATCCTAGATTTCAGGGGCCAAATTACAATAATTAGATAACCATGGAAGTAAAATGTGTATTCAAGCTCATTTAAATTTTGTTTCCATTATTTTGAATTTGCTGTTCTTTTTCTCATTGAGAATGCTGTTTTTTACGAAAAAAAATAAAAGATGACCTTGCGCACGAAAAAGTTTTAAATCTAATTTTTGTACCCAGGAGATGCGCCCAAAATTGTTTCTCATAATTTTTTGAAAAAGGTGTGCATCGTACTTGAATAAACACGATAGTTCGTTTAAAGTTCCGACTAACTTGACACAAGAGTTCGGAAGTATCACCACTACCCTTTCAATTCCGCAAAATCTCACCTCATGTAAAAGTCCAGCAAATTCATACACACTGCGGATGTTGACCGTTTAGGCTCGCAAATCTCTTTTGAAATGAAGATATATGGCCTGATGTAAATTTTTTGCATCGGCTTCGTATCTCAAGTTTCGAACATTTACGGTAGTTCTTGCGAATTTCTGGATATTCCAACGTCTTGTCCTGCTACATATCCGATTAGGTTATTTTCCATATACTGTGCGTATTTTCATGAACCAGCATACGTTTTTGCAATCTTTTCTTACTTCCTCTCACATTCGTCTATTTATTTTCCTCATTTTCCGGAACCGTCTGCGGAGCCACTCGCTCCGCTGAGCACGGGTTGAGAACCACTACAGTACTTTCTTGTATCACACCAATACTTTAGGGCAGAATCGAGGAGTCTCTCATTCGAGGATTTTTGTCGAGCATTGATGCTTCTTCCCCCTTTACGTTAGTCGTGTATCAGGGGAAACGCCCATGGTGAAACAAAAACTAAGATTCATATTTTTTGTGCGTGTTAGCATATAACAATGAAGGGTAGTACGGAGACTACGAACAACTGCAATTAATGGAGTGCAAAATCGTGGGTTGCATCCCGAGGAGGTCTTGGAGATGTGGAAGCGACCGCGACATCGGTAACGACACTGCAGCTAGGGGTTGTCAGGGTTGGTGGGGGGGGGGGAGGTCAGGAAACAGTGGAGGGGGGTTGTGCGAGTGTGAAGCCCCGGAGTCGCAGCTTGCGCTGTTCCGCAGGAAGAGAAAGAAAAAATCCGAGATGAGCGAGCACTCTCTCTCTCCGGGGCCCGCGATCGAGGAGCAGCTCCGTCCGGGCTCGAGGTGGCGCCCTGGCCTGGGAGAAACCCAGCGCCAATGGGGACGGCTCGGGATTGGACTCCCTCCAGCGAGGCGGAGTGATTCAGAATAATGCCTAGGCGGAGCCATATTGCTCGGTGCAGGTATTCCGCGCCAGTTTCCTGCGAAGCCCGGAATTGACATATCGCGGGGCAGCCGGCGAGACCGCGTCGCTTCCATTCGGCCGACCTGACCACGGGGGTTCGCGAAGCCGAGCAGTGACAAGCGCGGAAGTAACTCTAAACCGCCACAGTCTGTCTCTGGTCCTCAAGTGCAACTGATAGGATAGCTTGACATCAAGAGGCCGTGCTAGCAAACACCGTCTCTCACCAAATCAAGTCTGCGCATTAAAATCTCCTCACCCAAAAAAAAGCTGCGTTTTTTCGCAGTACAAATCCCATTGTGAAACTTCGAGCAGCAGCATCAAGTCGCCGCGTAATAGTGCTGTGCTGCGCGGAAAACCTTTGCTAGAAGTTGAAGATTCAAAAATAATTAATGCGGAAAATTAATGTGACCTTATATGCGTGAGTGCCATGTTATTTTTTCCGTTCACCATCCCGAGATGATCGCATTGGAACTCCTAAGATTTTGCTCGATAAATTATGGATATCACCTCTAAAAGGCCAGTGCAAGATATTTTCGAGAATATAGATTGTTGCTCGCCCGAGAATAGAAACGAAGATGATTTGTTTATTGTTGTCTGGTGGAAAGTGATGAAAATTCAAGTGCGTTCCGGGGTTGATTTTCATGATTGTGTTCGCAGAAAAGTCGTTCAGGTGGATTAAGACGAGTGTGCGTGAAGAGCGAGATTTTCCGAGCACTGAATCCGAGTAGGTTTGGGATGCGTGTTCCGCATTTAGCGAACTAGGGGAACTTGAAGGTGGCGAAGTCGGAAACTTGTCCCTCGACATCCGCCGAACTTGACCCCGCTACGCAGACCGAGTGACTGATTTACGAAAGCCAAGTCAAGATGTATTCCGACATCGGAATCATACCCCAGAAACTATATGGAGACAGCAATGTGTCAGGAGCCATGGGTGGCGCCGGCGCCGGGATGGCGTCTTATTCGTCCGCCGCCGGGATGTCGATGAACGGCATGCCGTCATATTCCATGGAGGCGTCCTACGGCCGCCAATCCTCGAGTCTCACATCCAACATGCTTTCCGGATCCACTGCTTCCGGCGCCAACATGTCGCCGATCGGTTCCATGGCTGCCATGAACGGGAATTGCATGTCTCCGTCGATGGGATCGCCTTATACGTCATTGGCACCCTCCGTCAACAATATGACCTCCATGGCGTCTTGCATGGGTTCCATGGGTTCTATGAACAACATCAACAGCGCATTGTCAAGTGAGTTTGAGCCCCTCTCAAGGGAAAATAATTGACTACGGAACCCCTGTTTTACTGCGAAGGGTGCAACGTCTACCGCGTGTCATCCAAATATCTTTCAGTTCAAACGGAAGTTAAAATCAACTACAAGTCCCGCGGAAAATGTTCGGTGCAGTTTCCCAAGCTCGTTGCTTGTTCTTCGCTCAGCATCTCTTAAATGCTCCGAAGAAATTCTCAAAATCATCATGGATTTTGGTTAAATTGCTGTCCTCTCATTTCTGATGCAATTTTAGCGCGGATACCTCGATTTTGCATCATATCTTCAATTCCCATCGCCAACTTTCTTCGCGTGGAATAAACTCCGTGCGCAGCAGGGGGTCCTATTTGTTTTTCGTAAATTTGCGCGACTATTTATTCCATTCTTCAATCTACTCGGGAAAAAGTACACACAGAAAAATTTGCACGCGTATAACTGGCTCGTCATCATAAAACATTTCAAGGAATGTTTATCCATGAAGCATAGCTGTCTTCGGGAAATCGGTGTGTTGCAGAAATGTACCGATTTGTTAAGTTTTCTCTGGTGAGAGCCTCGTTCATGATTGTCAACTGGAGGAATGCAAATACAGACTCGTATTCTGCACCTCGAGCATCCGCAGATTTCCTCGACGTTTCAGCAGAAACGTTGTCGGAAAAAATTTACGCGGTCCAATGTGCTGTCCATGAAAAAAACACCAGCATTGGGTTTGAAAAACAAAAAACGCCTATTCGTTTTAACAGGTTTGTAGGAATATTTACAGGAATTCTTGCTGGAATTATATTTCCGAAAGTGCAGTCGATGGAACCAAATATCAGAAGAAAAATGACCTGTTGGAGAGCGATTTGAAAAAGCGATTTAATTTCAGGGAAAACTCTAAATCTTTCAGTCGTGAAATTCATTAGTTTAGGTCTTTTAGAAGAGTCTTGCACTTATTAGATTGGAAATAATGCAGTGGAGAATGGTCGACCTCTGTGCATTGGTTCCATCGACTCGCCGAGATAGTGACGATGGATCCATTTCTTTTGAAGTATATTATGTTGGCAATAATTCTGTAGTTCTGTAGAGAATATGCACGTCCTTTTTCTTCTAAAAAAAATTCGGAGCTACAGATAGTTAAAATGTGATGACACTCGTAAATTGTGAATCGTATGTCTCTCGACGATGAATTTTGATCGTTGAACGTAATTGGACGTCCTCGTGCGTGACCTCGGAACTCGGAGTACTTTTCATCGGTGTGATGCAAGATTTTCCGTTCCATTACCCTTGACACAGATTTCGTACACACCAGGCGCCGTTTTTCTCCGTTGCAAAAAAAGGAGAAAAGAAACTCGGACTTCGTATCGAATGATGCGATAAGAGACCGAAAACTGCGCCAAGCAGCGGTATGTTGTCCGCTCGCTTTTTGCAGTCAACGATTTTTAGTAGCGCAGTGCGAGCTTCCGAGGGAAGAAAAAGTGACACTCATTCATTGCTACCCGCTTTATAATTATGCCTCGGGTAATTGTGATGGAAATCATTTCCAGGAAGATCATAAGAATCCGGTAATCACGAGAAATATTGCTTTAGTTATTACCGCAGACGGTCGGTAACTCTGCATAAATTTCTGGCACATTGGAGATATGATATTCAAGTCCTCCAATGTCACGCGACGTTGTCAACCTTCTTCAAGAAGTAGATCATCCAGGGAAACGCATTAATCTTGGGCTATATCACTCGGGTAACGATTAAATTTGAAATTCCAACCGTGGCCGCGTTGAGAACTTGGATAGCCTTGAAACCTCACCAGTAAGCATGAAAACTCTGCGTTCAAAGGATTGAATGCAAACAAATAGAAAGTCTCTTGGGGTTTCGCTTAGTTCTAGAAGCAAAGGAATGCCGGAGCGAAGTCATTGGCGTAGTTTTTGGTTCTGGTTTAATTCGCCCAACACAACATTACCTCCCATCCAATCCGACTAAAAGACAAGAGCGAAAGGATCTCCGCAACAAAACACGCAAGTGAGGCTTCAAGCTGTCCAATTCTCGTCCTCGTCGTTTTCGTACGTTAAACAACGAAAACATTGCAATCTTTTAATTTCAAAAGAATTTCAGAATATATGGAAGAAGAGTTGTGGCAAGCATAATTCAAGTCAATTCTATTTTCCTCGAAAATAAAAGGAAACTGTGCAAGAAACTCTTTTCTGGCAGCTGTAAACATACGCCTACTTGAATAATTACTGATACTGTATTCCCAAACACGTTAATATTTTCTCGATTGGGAACCAACAGACCCGAATCAGAATCGGAATTCGTTCCTTGGCCTGTTTTTGCCTCGGAAATTCAAGGAAAGCGGGAGGTAAAAAAAAATTCTACAAATTATTCATTCCGATCGATTTCCTGGTACAATTATTCGCCCTCGCCCCTTTTTCTTCCTCTGGCACGGTGACGTTCGGTACGTGAACTGTGTGCTACTGTTCACGACCGTCGGGAAAATCTCGGTCGACTGGAAAAAAGAGGGGGAGTGAACAAAGAAATCAGTCTCAAGTAGCGTTATAAGGAATCATGACGAATTTCGTCCCTTGAAAATTCCGTTACGCGATGTAGTTGCCGTGGTCCGAGTTCCGCGGTACAAGCGATTTCTTGCCGCGGCATTCCGGTCGCGGGCCACGCGGAAATTTTTTCGCGAAATTTCGGGCCCCCACGCATTGTTTGCATGGGTAAAAACGATGTTTCTTAGCGACTCGAGAAAATGCCTGGGTTGCCCCCCGGACGAACACCGAAACGTAACGGGAGTTTTCCTCGGTCGGGTTCTGGAAATTCCGCTAGTCCGTGGATTCGAAGCAGCTTCATTCGTCGCGTTTCTGCCTTTTCCGTCTTACTTTATTTCGCACCTATGTTTCTCTCCCTCTCTCTTCCTTCCTCGCTTCCCTTTTCTGTCATTTCCTCGACAAGTTGGGATCTCGATTCCGTCGCGAGAGGGAGTGGGAAGGATGGGGAAAAAAAGAGGAAATGCCAGTGCTGGGAACGGACTTGAAAAATTAAGAAATGCGGATAGAGATGGAATGAAGCGTGCGGTGAAATACCTGGCTGTGTTTTATCCCCTGCGTCGGGAATCCCCGGTGCCGACAATAGAAATCACATGATCATCACGGCGAAAATGACGAAAACAAGCGACGATAAGCCGGGCACCGCACGCGCCGCCAAAGCCAGGTTTTTTCTCCTCTCTTTCTGCTCTTGGAGCCGCGTCGGAAGAAACGCGTCAGCTCGTCGTGGAAATTCTTCGCGTTTATTCCTCTCATCGACGCGTCACCGCCGAATTATACGAATCCAACTTCGAACTCCGCGCTGCACTTTAGCCGTTTTTCGACCCGCGATGTTTTTTTTCATTAGAATTTTTTGTTGGTGCCAAGAATACAGGTGTTTTTCTCGCTGGAAATCGAGAGCTACGAACTAACTGTCCATTGATGAGGGAGAGACTGTTTCTACGTACCATTGAAGAGAGTTTCATTACGCAGTATTTTGGATAATTTTCCTCGTTCTTCAAAAATATTGGCCCTTTCTTTCGCCGAGATTTATCAACCGTAATACAGTATACAATACAGGTAACAGTCAGTTGATAGCGAGCGACGTTTCTTCTGCGTCTCTGAAGCTTTCGAACCTTTGTAAATCTATTGATTTTTATTCAACTGATCTCTGTATGAATCGGGTTTAAATGCTGTCAGATGAAGTTTTCTTCCAAAGAATTTATGATGTTCGGATTGGTTTTTAAAGAAACCAGCCTTTTCGATCGACAATTGAAAGTTATGCGCAGAATTTAATCCTGAGCGGTACTTTCGCCATGCTTCTGCTGCTCTCGAAGTTTAGTTCTAGCTGGAATTTATTTATCCTTGAAAGATTTCTGCATAAATAGATTGTGCAGTCAGCAGAGTGAGAGAGAACTTTTTTCCTTCCGTAAAATTCCCATGGAATCACTTGTTACCGATCAACAAGAATGCAGATGACATTTTTATCGCATTGAAAACCGTTCGTCAGTTCGAGAATTTTCAAACTGCATTAGAAGTGTGAGGTGTCGGGAACAATAACCAGGTGCACATGCCCGAGTAATACAGTAAATTGCTCTAACCATCTTTTAGCCGATCAAAAAATAAATATTCAAGGATGACCTTACAATACGAACGACATTCCGACAAACTTTTCCCAACAGTAATTTTTCCAAAATTATCGAAGTTTCAATCGATTTCATTCAAAAACGAGGAAAATTCCATCATTCAGTAACGAGAAATACTGTGCAACGAAGCGTGGGCTCAAAGACGGAAACATTCCATCAAAAATGTATGTCAATCAAAGGGAATTAAAGCGCCTTGCGTTGTAATTACGTGGTACCCATGCTAGTTAGTTTCGTCTGAATGAATCGCAATTTCAGCACAAGTAATTGAATGTATATTTTATGAAAGACCGGGTAGTCGAAGTTCCGCACTGCTCCAGAGCAAGAGTTTATGCATGAACTGGGACCGTCCTCGTTACCGAGGAACGAAGAAATGATTGCTATTTTTTAAAGAAAATTTGGAAAGGGAAAAAGTCGCGTTAAATTCGGCTACGATGAAAAGAGATGGGCCCTGAGAAAGGCAAATAATTTCCGAGTTGCTTCTCCTGAACGGGGCTTTTTTTTTCCTCGCGGTCGGCGAAGTTTACCGCATTATGCATTAAGTCAAGGACAATGGTGTGAAAATACGGTGGATTAAAATGACCGTTCGTTCTCGTGGCTTTAATGACGAAATGGGGTAACCCGCTGCGGGCTCGGTCCGTTTTGCGCCGTAGCGAATTCCGTCAACACGGGCCCGAAGATGGCGTCATTGAAAGCCCCACTGGGACAGGGATGTGCGACACGGTTCCCCAGAGCAATGGAAAATTAGCCGAGATTCAGCAATGAGTTGAAGGGGGTCGGAAGCCGTGATTGCGGGCGCATGAGGTGAGGAAGGAGAGGAACAAGGGGGGGATGGGGAGCGGCGCCTGGGCTTCACCCTCGACGCTGCGGATCCCGAGCAGCTAGAAAAGAACCCATTGGCCAGTTCTCCACAACACGCGACCCCTCGGGACCTCGTTTCTCCCACGACTCAATCCAAGCATGCGCCGGGTCCGCAATTACAGATTTTTTCCCCTGCGTTTTTCCTTCGCGAGGACTCGTTGCCCTGCCTTCGTCACTT